GCTTCTTCCCAATTAGCTCTATCAGCTATATTTCAACCTTATTATGTGGTATAGATACTTTTTCTCCATTTTAAAAAGAGGCAAAACATTACACAATAGGAACACTATTAGAAATATTTATAGCACATACTTTATTCACATAGTTGCAATTATCTGTATACGTTTTCGAATTAAATAATGTTATTTATCGTAGCTGCTAATTATTTCGTAAAGACCAATATTATGTTGTGTGACCACTTACAATCATGAAATTGACATCCGTAATAGTAATCCATTAAATATTTCGGATTCCCTTATATATATGCCCCTAGATGGACCAATCTCAGCAAGTTTTTGAAACTGGTCCTTGGCTTGATTCCTTTCCCTTCATTCGTGTTTTCCCGACTTCAATTCCCTCAAGAATTTCTTCCTGTCGATGCTTCCTACTATTCAAGTGATGTTCTTGATGCAAGAGTCTTCTTTTTGCTTTGCTTACTTAATTATAAATGTCTAAATTGGCCTAAATAGTAATTGTGATTATCATCGGCTCTTCTTCCAATCTCCTGTTCATTAGGCTTCTTTAAACCAGGATATCTAGGGCTATCCTGATCTTCTATTCCTTCTATTTTCATCGTATGAGGCTAATCTTTCATTTGAATTCCGATTAATGTTGCATTCGTTTAGTGCAATATGTTATTATATTTCTAGTTCACGCTTCTGCATAATCACTGGCGGTATTTAATTCATTTATTGATTGTTCTCTTTCTTTCTCAAACATCCCTTTTTTAGAAGCCGTCGTAGCTAATACAGTGAACTCTCGAGAAATTCGCCTTGCTAGCCTTTGCATGGTTTGTAGATAATCTTGTTTGGAATCTCGTCCATTTTTGAGGGGCCTACAAAAAATCCATTTTTTAGCTCAGATCGCAGCTGCCAGGCTAGTTCACAAGAGATTCGATATACTAAACTGTATGGATCTGAATTTCTACAGCAGAGAAAACAGAAAATCAAAGAAACAGTATTGAAAAACCACCTTATTGAGTTTTCTAAAGGGATAGGAAAAATAAAGTCTCAAGATGCCCTTTAAATTCACTCAGACTTGTTTCCCGAAAGGGACTTGATTAAAACAATTAAGGCTGTAAATAGTTTATACCCTGGATCATCAAGCTTTTGCAAGAGCCTTGGCTTACTTTGAATTTCCTATCTTCTCTAGGACCTAATAGCACTTAGACTCTGTGGTGCGGGGATATTGTGTTGCCATTTGACACACACTATCAATATTTAAGTTCCGTTGGGGACGCTTCTAATGTACAGGCGAGATTGAAACTGTGGTCCATTTTTAAAGGCAAAACTATGTGAAAATCTCAGGTCTTGGAATCGTTTTGATTGTGGGAAATTCAACTATCAGGATTAACGTCACCCGCATCTACTTTTGGTGAATCTGGCTAGTTAATAGTTTCCAAATCCATTATATTTTTTTATTAAGTTCCTAATAAGGTAACTCGCTTTATTACAAGCTGCATCCATTATGGGCATTGCTTCTCTTATCCTCCTTTAATTTCGTTTATGCTCCACGTAAGTCTTAATAACTCTTAACTTAACACTTATTGGATTTGATGATTTTGAACCTCTATATGTTTAATAAATTAAGATCGTTTATGAACTCAGCCTAGACAGCTAAATGACCTTCGTCCACATAACTTCAATCATTCATTAAAATGAGTTAATATCTCTCTAAAGTAATCAATTAGATCTATGGGGACATATCTGTCGAATATAGACTTGCGTTTGCTACTGTTTTACAGACTTGCACTTGTGGCTTTGTTAACAATGTCAATATTTATCTCTACCGTTCGATTTAACTATTTATCTGCCAAACACTACTTTATAAAATGTTCCAATCGTTTTACCTTATCTAAAAAATTTTTTTATTTCCATTGAATTTTTAAAACAGGTGCTGCTTATCAATTAACTATAATGAAGACTACTAATTCTGAACACGAATTGATTGTCAATCACGTACGCAAATTCATTCCAAACGCAGAACTACGCTCCAGCCTCGCAAATGAAATTGTAGTCCTGTTATCGTTTGAAACAGTTGGTCGCTTCTCAGAACTTCTTAGAGACCTAGATATCAACAGATTTACCCTAGGAATACTTCAATATGGTATCTCTATCACCACTATGGAGGAAGTTTTCTTCAGGTGCGATAAGAAAGAATTTATTGTTTATGTTTTTTAAATATTACTTTGAAGATGTATGTATTTGATTTGCCTACTTTGCTTGGTTATTATTGCAAGCATTATGCATTGTCTATTTTTTTCAATTATCAGTTCTTTTATTTAAGATATCTGTTTACTCAAATTGTATTTTATCTTCTCACTAAGGTCCTGGATATTAGCTTGCTTGTCGCATGCGAGTCTACCATTTGACTTATCCTAATTAATAATTAGTGAATAATTTTTCTAGACAATTTAGTGTATATAGAATTTATTTTGCAATGCAAATAATATTTTATTTAATCGAAGATATGAAGACCAAGATGGTGTATCCTTTTGTGTGGTCACAGTTTACTTTCATTGTATCGAAGTTGTTTAACCTTGTTTTCGCAACTTGCTCATATTGGTAGGAAGACTTAGAGGAACTCACTTAGTCCGGGGTCCATTCTATGCATGATCATTTCCAAAGTCGGATCGTGGACGGGGTACATTCCCAGACGTTTCACCGGCATCGTCAGTTAGTCTTGATATTCTTAGCACCCCACTACATCTCGTCAAAGAGACAAGTGAAGCCGATCTTTTGACAAAACGTGTGCTAAACAGTTGTGGTATCTCCCCTTCTGCCCTGGGCTATTCACATTTTCTATATCCTCGTATCACGCCTTTACTGTTATAATTTTTACCGTGCTTATTTAGCCGTAGTGTGATGTGCTCCTTTGAGCCGCATTCATGAAAACCCTCCACATTCCGCGCTGGCGTTCTAACCCCCACTTCACCCTTGTGCTGGAAATGTTGATCAGAGTCTGCAGTCCTCCTTCCATAGGTCTTATCACAGTCTTCCTCTTGCCCCATAAGATCCATCTGCTATCTACCTGGTTCACGTATTTCACTCGACCTCTGCCACCATCTGTGCTACTCGCGGCGTTATTACCCCACCCCTGCGTCTGGGTAACTAATACGAGGCTAAAGCCTCTGAGTAAGTGTCATGGTCACGCTTTTGCTAAATGGAATACGTCTCTGGTAGAACATACTGTCAGCCAACTAGCTCTAGTTGGTTCAACATTGAACATAATCAAGGCAAGCAGTACCACAACATTTGTGGGTTGGCACACAATAGACTAGGGCAGTGGTTCCCAAACTTCTCCTAGTCGCGGCGACGTTTTTCAATTAAAACTTTTCCATGGTGCCCTAACCTAAGTATGACTATTCGTAAGTAAGAGATAAAAATAAATAAAACTCGTGTATCTTCATTATTTTTTTAC